GTCTGCTGGGGCGAAAAAAAAAAGGGGGGGGGAGAATCTGGGAGCAGCCAAGTCCCTGGCTGAATTTAATCAGTAGGTGCCCCATCCAGCTGCTGCTTATAGGCTAGACAGTGCAGTCAGCATCCATACTGATCAGCTGCTGCGATAAAATCACCCACTAGGCAAGCCTAGAACTGAGCCGAGAGAAGCCATAAAACTCAACTGGTGTGCTGCAATACAGGTAGCACAGTGTGCATGTACCCTAAACAAATATGGCCGCTCTCGTGTGTGTGATAGAGAGATTATATATATATCTCGGGATTTACATGACTGTGTCATCTCTGAGCCAGGATCTCAGTCCAGGAAGTAGATGGTGAATCTGGGTGATGCCCGAACAAAGATGGCGCCGTTCGGGGGTTTCTTCTTCCTGCTGCCTTTCGTGTCTTCCATTCACAGGACAAATCCCACCTGCCGCACAGGCAGTGATGTCATTGATGACATCCTCCCTATGACCCTCCAGCTGGAGGAAGAGTCTGCAGGAGGCTGAGCACTGGTCGCGGTTGCAATGCTCTGCAGGCTGCGGTGCAAAAAATGTATAAATGCATTTCTCTCCTCCAAAGTGTGTGAATTTATTAATTTTTGTCAAAGGGTGGACTATGCCTTTAATTTTTGAGGGTGTGGAGGCGGAGCTTCTGTGATGCCATGCCAGAAAGAAGGGATCTCATTTGTCAATTTTCTTTTAGGACTATATGCAGAGCAGATGTGTGATCCAATCACGTGTGGCCCCTCCTCCGAGGAGCTTACAATCTCCTGGTCACTCGCGATGTGGACACCAAGTGTATGGTCCTCTGGGTGCGCTCCTCCGAGCACAAGGACCCCGCCGACGTCCTTCGTTACAACATCCGGGAAGAGAAAACAAGTAGGTGACCCCCGGAGTCCCTTCATTAGACCTGACGGGGGGGGTTCAGGTGCATTGTGGGATTGGACTGTGGGCAGCGTTCACTTCCTGTGTGGGAGACCATGTTCAATGTACTTAAAGTGGAAGTAACCTGTCGCAATGTGAAAGTGCGCGCCGCATGCAGGCTATGGCGCACACCCACCTACCTTCTTCTGCGTTCTTTCAGCCATGACGGGTCCACGAGCAGTGACATTGTCTCCATGCCGACACGAGCGCTCTATACACTGCACGGCACATTCACCCAGGAGTGACATTGTCTCCATGCTGAGAATCGAGCGCTCTATACACTGCACGGCACATTCACCCAGGAAAGGCATTGTCTCCATGGCGAGAATAGAGCGCTCTATACACTGCACGACACATTCACCCAGGAGTGACATTGTCTCTCTGCTGAGAATAGAGCGCTCTATACACTGCACTGTACACTGCACTGTACACTGCTGAGAATAGAGAGGACCTTACACTGCACGACACATTCACCCAGAAGTTACATTGTTTCCATGGTGAGAATAGAGCGCGCTGTACACTGTACGGCACATTCACCCTTGTACAAGTCATTCTGACCTGAGAAAGCTGGTCGGATGACCAGTAAAACGTTTTCAAGAAAAATACAGCAAGTCCAGTTGCCTCGACTTATTTTTTACTTTATCATTTATGTGTTTAGAATTGCTGTATAACCTGCACTGCCTTGTGGGACTCTACATTTCGTCCAGGTTAGAGCTCCGCCAGCTGGCCTTTGGTGGCATTGCAGCCTAATGATCATTGTGTCCAGGTTAGAGCTCCGCCAACTGGCCATTGGTGGCATTGCAGCCTAATGATCATTGTGTCCAGCTTAGAGCCCCGCCAACTGGCCATTGGTGGCATTGCAGCCTACTGATCATTGTGTCCAGGTTAGAGCTCCGCCAACTGGCCATTGGTGGCATTGCTGCCTATTGATCATTGTGTCGAGGTTAGAGCTCCGCCAACTGGCCATTGGTGGCATTGCAGCCTACTGATCATTGTGTGCAGGTTAGAGCTCCGCCAAGTGCCCCCGGGGGGTTATGGCAAGCCAGAGATCATTTCGCATTGAGACATTTTGAAATTTATGTGGTTATTTTAGGAAACTTCTGCCAATGACGAGGAACTGGTGATGGCCTCTAGTGAAAACGACTTCCACATTGTCTTTGTTTTCTAGCGAACTGACCGGTTCCGGTTTCAGTGTTGCTCTTTGTCTTGCAAAATCGCAGATTTTCAGCACGGTTGCGTGGCTCCCTGTAATGTGTCTGATCTTTTGTATTTAAAGAGCTTCTTAAAAACATTGCCCAACACAGCTGTTTGCCTGTAATTTAGTCACTTCTGATTAACTGATAGGTTGTGTTCATCAGTAAAAAAAAATTTGCAAAGTTCACCCCGGTAGGTCACAGATGGTGGCAGAAAGACCGCGTTAAAAATCTTCTCTATACAAAGTAACATTGTTTAGAAACATTGATCAGAGGGAGATAGAGAGATACAAAGTAACATTGTTTATAAACATTGATCACAGGGGAGATAGAGAGATACAAAGTAACATTATTACTTCTCTATCTACTCTGTGTCATAAATGTGCAGATCAACTTTCCAATGCTTGGTAGCAGTATTATAATTTAGTTTAAAGGCGAACTATGGGGTTAAGGCTTTTCCCCATAGTTCTCCTTAGGGTAACGGGAGGACACAAACTAGCGTCCTCCCGTCACCCTAAGCTCAGTATACCGCAAGCTACAGTTCGCGGTATACTGAGACGCCGCAGCTGAAGCGGATCCCGAAAATTATGCCGGGATCTGCCCAGCTGTGAGTGACAGCTGGCTCTGCCTATCTAGAGGCAAAACCAGCTGTACCCGCCCTACGAATATACTTTTTTTTTTTTTTTTAAATGAACAGTGATACATTGAATTGTTGAAAATTATTGAAATGTTCTAGTATTTATTTATTACAGGTACTTCTATAGCACCAATAATTTACACAGAGCTTTACAAAGTTGCACATTCACATCAGTCCCCGCCCTCAAGGAGCTTGCAATCTAAGGTCCCTATCACACATACACACGGGGCCAATTTAGACAGAAGCCAATTAACCTTTCAGTCTGCCTGTGGAGTTTGGGAGGAAACCGGAGAACCCGGAGGAAACCCACACAAGCAAAGGGGGAACATGCAAACTCCTTGCAGATAGTGACCTGGCCGGGATTGGGGATCCCCAGTGCTACAAGGCAGAAGTGCTAACCACTATGCCACTGTGCTGCCCAGTTCTAGTATTGCACTGTGGACATTGAAGTGTAAGTCATTCTTATACAACGGGCTCTGGAATTACAGCTCCTGGATAGAGGAAGGCACCAAAACTGTCTTGGCTGTACCAGAGTGCAAAGCATACTTGCTTCACAGGTTGGTGGGCACCAGACTGGTACTGGTATAACACAGTCCTATTATTAAATCGGAAGTTTAATCTGCTTATATTGTGCCTTCCCTGGTCTCTATCCCCCCCCCCCCCCCCCCCCCCAAAGAAGAAACAAACACAACCCCCCCCGTC